GGGGCACTGCCTGGAAGGCCTCGGAGGCCCCCTCTAGTCTGCCTGGCCTTCAGTCTCCCCGCCCCGCATTCCAACGACCTTGACTTCGCTGTTTTTATTGTTTATTTACTTAGCGTGCTTGTGTGGAGGTCAAAGAACTTTCAGGCATAGGTACTGGTACTCTCCTTCCACCATGTGGATTCCAGGGATTGAACTCAGATTGCCAGACTTGGTGGAAAGTTGCCTTCACCTGCTGAGCCATCTCGTTTTATTGCTAATCATTTTTGAATCAGCATCCAGGACTTAATGAAGTCTGCAAAAAGGGACTGTCTCCATTTTACAGATCAAACCACTGAGGAGGCTGAGAGGAACATTTCAGTAGTGCCCCTGGATCACAGTTCATTTCAAAGCTGCACCACTGTCACCGGATTTTCAGTACCCAGACAGCCCCTCCCTGCCAACCTCCCTCCTCCCAGAACAGTGCTGAAATAGCCACTGCAGTCACAGGGGTGGGACACTGACCCACTCAAAACCCCTTCCCCAAAAACCACAGAGGCAGATTAGGGAAGGGATCTGGCTTTCTCTTTAGTTCTCACACAGTGAGGCGCTGAAGTCACAGAGAAGGCACTTAAATGGGCAGTCATCCAATTCAGGCCAACCCCTCCCCCCACCAACTCCCTTGGTTTGTGGGTTCATTTAACCCTCAGACCCTGGGGAGAAAGCCCCAGGCCTTGACCTCCAGACTCAGCAGGTGTGGGGAGGAGCTTCAGAAACAAGTCAGAGTTGGAAGGCACAGTGTTCTGGGAGCCACCCCCAGCCAGCAGAGGAGGTTGCAGGGGTGAACTGGCACCTAAAGGGACAGCTTGGTGGGAGTCTTGGAGACCCCCCAAACTCCACAAGGCTCCACCTCCTGCAGATACCCTGAAGGCACTGGTGAAGTTTGGGGCTTAGGGATGAGGCATCAATGACAGGGTGGAGAACCCCACCCCACACCTCAGCTGGTGGGACTAGCTCACCCCTGGGCACAGAAGGTGCTCTGCTTAATGTTTTTTGAATGAATAGAGCAAAAGAGCTGGGACAGACAGAAGATAGGGCCTGTGACACCCTCAGTCCATCTTGTTCCATTCAGAAAATAGTACTTTAAAAAATGTAAAAATCCTTTCCCTCCCTCCCCCCAATTTCTGGGCCCAGGGAAGGGGTAAAGGAGGAGGGTCTACTCCCACCCTTTCCTCTCTCCTTCCCTTAAAAATCTATATACACATATACATATTTATATGGCACCACAGGGGAGTCCTGCCTATGCTCCTCAGAGCCAGGGGAAGCCAAGCCCCAGGGCTTCAGGGAGGTTAAGACAGAAGTAAGGGAGCCAGGGCTTAAGTGATATGGAGAGCAGCCATCAGCCTTGGACAAGTTAGACTGTGGGGTCCCTAAGGAAGGTCCCCTGCTCCCTTCATACATGGTAACAGATCTCCCTCTTCCTCCCATGCAGAAATTGATGGGGTACTGTCATCTCAGGAGGGAGGTAGGGAGGGAAGAGACCAACTGATTCTTCCCAGGTGAGCCTAGACCTGGAAAAGCTAACCAACGAAGGGGGCTGTATACAAGGCACTTGGTGTCTACTGTTCCCAGGCTGGGGGTCCAAGGCATGGAGAAACCCTGCCTGTATCCCCAAAACAGAACTGGGGCTAAGGGGCCCAATTTGGCAGCAGAAAATCCTGGCAGCACAGAAAGAAGACAGAAAGGGGAAGCAGCAAGAAGGCCCCTTGGGTCCCCTAAGAAGTGAGGAGGAGGTTTGAAGGCACTGACACAGGGGCCCAGGGGCTTGCTCTCCTCCATGCAGCCTGACAGGGCTGGCAGGGGAGATATGGTTTCCCTGGGGCTGTGGATATGGCACAGCCTAGGGCTTTTGTTGACAGAGTGCAGGCAGGCGCCCACAGAGTCTGCTGGGAAGAGGTATGGGCCTCAGTCAGGGGCAGGTCCTGGCCCCATGACACCTCACTAGCTCCCAGGCCTAGGATGCCTGAGCACTGAGTACACGTCGTCCACACGGCTGAGTTGCTCGAAGAAGGGTAGGAGATCATGGAGCTCTGTGTCACTCATGTTGTCAAACCACGAGGCCACTGGTACCTGGGAAGATGACAAGAAGGATGTGAAGGGGGCAGATGGCCCAGGGGGCCCATGTCCAGGCCAACCCCTAAGTACCTACTACTTGGATCACACAACTCCTGGAAACCCCTTGCCTACATTGCACATATACTTGACAGAAATGGTCAGTGAAATAGATACGAACTAGCAAAATGTTCACATATAATACTTAACCTTATTGTTTCATTTTGCTAGCATTCCAATCAGGTCTTACTCAATTCACTAACAAATTGAAACTGGAACCTTGAAAACTGCTAGATGGATGGGGACTCCAGTCAGAGGGGAGCCCTCACCATACCCATGTGGAATGAAATGATTAGCAAATCCAGGCAGCAGTGAGTAGAATATGGGAGCAGATGGAGGTTCCCAACAGTATCCCATATTGAGGCAGCCATTACAGTATATCATGTGTACTTGTCCTCCATCCCAGCCCCTCTGGGTCCTGTGTGCACTCACAGCGTTGTCTGGATGGAAGACATAAGAGGCAGGCGAGTTGTCTAGGATGAGTACCCGCCTCAGGTCTCTGCCTAGCCGGCTCAGGTCTTTTACATAGTTCCCCCGATGGAAGACACATGACTCTCGAAACAGCCGGGCCCGGAAGGCTCCCCACTTGTCCAACAGGTCAGCCACAGGGTCTGCATACTGGAGGCAAGAGGCAGGTCATCCCAGGGTGAGTAGTGGCCCTGAGCTATGTCTGGCTTGCATGGTGGAGGTGGATGGCAAGGTCTGGTTGCCCCAGACACCTGGCAAAGGCTCACCTTGGCAAGGCTGGCAGTGAACAGCACACATTCAAAGAGCTCGCCCATTCGCTGCAGGAACTCATCCACATGAGGCCGCTTCAACACATAGACCTGGGGAGTGAGCCAGTGAGGGGACTGCTGGCCCACAGGCTGGGGATGAGGAACAAGGCCTGGGCAGGAATATTGGTGGAAGCAGGGGAACCCAAGGAGACTAGTCCGGAGATCTGTGGATTCCCAAAGCCAGGGCCTGTGAGCTGTCCCAACCACCATCCTTCCCCAAAGAGAATCAGAATGAGATTTCAGTGGTCCTACCTCACCTAGTGGAATCACTAATTCCCAGTCCCTTTCCCACCTTGGTTTCAGCCAAATGCAGGAACCTGGGTCAGCCCTCTTACCCCAAGGCTGCAGGGCACCGGTCCCCGAGCCAAGTAATGGAGAACAGGCTGGACAGCACCACAACCTATCCTGAATTACTTGAACTGGGTCCCGGGCAGTAGGAGCATGAGGGCTTGGCAAGACAGGGCCAAGAGGAGCCCATTCTGCAGGCCTGGGAGTCTGTCCCTATCCCTGGGGTTCTGGGTCACCTTGGGTAAGTTTCACACTTTCTTTGGGCTTTGAGCATTCCCCATCTATCAAAGCCCCATCTGGGGCTCTCTCAGGATTGGTGGGAGGTGCCTGGGGTGTGGATTGCATGTGTCAAGCCCCCTCCTTCCCCTGCCCCTCACCTGGTGAACCACCCCATCAATCTCCACAGGGATGATGAAGTCAGCATTGTTCACTGGCTGTGAGGAGAAAAGAGAGGCTGGAGTGGTGCTGGGAGCCCCAGGGGTAGGAGTCCAGCAGAGACCTCCCTCCCTGGCCAGGGTAGGCGCCCCTCGGAGATTTTGGGTTGAGGGCTGCTGGGCAGGGCCCACCTTGAAGGAGCTGTGCACCAGTGTCTCATCCAGGTCGATGACCACGCAGATCTTGTCTGAGTCCTGGGCCTTGGCCTCGGGAAGCAGGTACTGGACTGGGGTCTGCTGTGGGGAGGGTTGGGGCTGGGTGGGCACCTCTTACAGGGGTTTCTTTCCCCTGGCTCTCTACCTGAGGACCCACCCAAACATTCTACCCCCTTCCCAGGTTTAGCTCTGCCAACTGTGGGCCACGGGTAGGATCTCTGGATCTCTCTTCCTCACCTCATTAAGTTCCCATCTACAAGGGGGATATTCAAAGGTTTGCTAGCAAGCAACAGCTATGGGCAGGTGCCAGAAGGGGTGGGGTCTTAAGAAGGGGCGTGACTTGTCGGGAGGCTTCCCCAGGTCTCAGAACATTCTAGGGTCTGCGGGTGTGTCAGAAAAATTTACCCTACAGCCCCTTCCCACAAGTCCACTCCCAGCTGGGCCCAGGTGTCCCTGCAGCTCCCTCCCAGCAATCACACACCTTCGGGATGGCGCCATTCTCCTCCACCAGCAGGGGAGCCCCACTGTGGGCAGGCAGGGCCTCCCCATCATCTCGGCAGACACAGCAGAAGAGAGAGTGGAGAATGCCCCGGTTTCGGGGCTTCTGGGAAGCTGCTGGCTTCTGATCACCTGAAACAGGAGGGCCTGGGTTAGGAACCTGCACACTGCCCTGCAGAGGTGTGCAGGTAAGAGAGCCAAGCCCTGGGTCAGTGAACTTGGCTGTCCACCCTTCAGTAAGGGAGACACACCAGGGTGACTCTGGCCCTCCATGAAATGACCCTGCCAGGGGCCCCATTCTGCTTGGCTCCGGGGCCCCTGTTGCTCCTCCACAAGGAAATCTGGTGTGGATAAGGAGGCAGGCACTTGGGGGAGAAGGCTGTCTGGAGGAGGGGGCAGAAGACTGGTGCTTTCTCTTTTTCTCTGGGTTGGTTTTAACCACCAGACCCAACCCATCTTACCTGAGCAGTCCCTGCTCAGGAAGGCCAGGGCTTGGGGCCCTGTCGTCCACTCCCACTCGCCCTCCATTCTTTCCACCCGTGGGTCCAAAGTCCTCATTCAGGCTGGGCCCTAGACCAGTGTCCCAGGGCCATCTGTCAGCCCCACCCCACCCCGCCTCAACCTCAGACCTGCATCGGGGCAGCCTTCTGATTGACAGCCACCCCACCCTTTCCTAATCACCTCTGTCCCCAACCCCCAGCGAAGCTAGGCCAGAGTAGAAGGTGGACCCCCACCCAGGCCAGCCCCCAGGGGCGCAGCGTCCGCAGACGGCGCGGCTTCCAGGGTGGGCGCACGGGCGGGTCACCGACTGGCCTGCAACCCGGGCGCCGCGTGCCCAGCTGGACGTAAGGCGCGCAACCTTGTCTTGCAAGTGCTGGCCCCTGTCTGTGCCTTCAAGGGTGTGGGCACCTCCACGCGAGATGCGCAAGTTTGGGGAAACGTGGCTGCTTGTTGGCGGGAGATCCTTCCCAGGCTCCCCAGCAGGCTGTCACTTCGGCGCCCCTTCCGGAGCCGGGACCCTACCACTGCCTAGAGGGGGCGGAGCCTCAGCGGGCCGCCCAAAGGCGGCCGCCTCACCCCCCCATCTTCCAGCCCCATTGGCGCCAAACTGGGGGGAGGGGGCGCCGTCCGGGAACCGCCAGCCCGGAGCCCCTCTCTCCGCTGAGGCCTTAGTTTCCCCACTAAAAGCAAGCGGAAGCGCTCTGCAGGCGCCAGGCCCCGCCCAGCGTCTCAGACTCCCGGAGTTCAAACTCTCCCGGTCCCAAGGCTGCGAGCTCCCGCTCCGCCGAGGCGGGCGCCTGGGGCGGTGGCAGCAGCTGCAGCGACGGGAAAGGTCCCGATCCTGTCCTCCTCCCTTCCCGCCGCGCCCCGTACCTTTGCCCCGCAGCGGGCCCCGCGCCTCCTCCTTGCTGATCTGAGTAATGACTGCCGAGCTGTCCATGGGGCCGGGCGCGCTCCGCTCCGGCCGGACTCTGGCCCGGGCGCCCGGCCTCCCCCCCGGCTCGGGCCGGAATCGGGGCGCGGGGGGGAGGGGAGGGTGGGAGGGAGGGATCCCCGCGAGCTTCAGAGGGGAGGGGAGCCAGGTTCTAAGGGGGCGGGGGAGGGAGGGGGCGCGGAGGAAACTTTGTTACAACATGGAGTTTCCTCCCCGCGAGGCGGATGCAAACATGGAACCCAGGCGCCGTTTCAAGGCTCCCCCTTAAAAGGGCAACGGCTACGGCGTGACCTGGACTCGGCCGCGGCTTTCATCACTTCTGGGGCCCGCGCGGCTCGGCGGGCGGGGAGGCGGCCCCGGGTTCCTGCCGAGAGCCAGGGGGCGTCGCCTCCTTTCCTGCGGCGCGCCGGCGGGACCCAGCCTCTGCGGCTGCGTGGCAGGGCTGGCAGCTGCGAGGTGGCGGAGCCCGGGGGCTAAGGCCCGCCCCGAGCACCGGGTCCTGGAGTGCCCGAGGGCGGCGCGGCTCCGCCTCCGCGCATTCCGAGGGTCTGACTCCGCCTCTCGGTTTGCCCATCTGGGAAATGGGATAATGCTGGTTTTCTATAAAATGGAGCTTTAAATTTTTTAAATTACATTTATTTATGTGGGGGAAAGGGGGTGTGTGCGTTATCGTGGCGCTTTCGTGGAGATCAATGGTTCTTTTCTACCATTGTGAGTCCTGGGGGGTCGAACTCAGGATTATCAGGTTTAGCAAACCCGCTCAGCCATCTCGTTGACCCCCAAATGAGTCTTTTGCCCAATGTTGTGGATGTCTAGAACCAGCAAAATTGTTCTTTGCCAGCTACAAATAGCTATGCAAATCCACCAAAAAGTGTGGATTTAAGAAAAAAGGATTTATTTCTATGTGTGTGTGTGTGTGTGTGTGTGTGTGTGTGTGTGTGTGTGTGTGTATACCTCGGAGATCAGAAGAGGGCGTTGGATCCCCTAGAGCTGGTGGTACTGGCAGTTGTGAGCAGTCTGGGTACTGGGAATCAACTCAGGTCCAATTCTCTGGCTCCAAATTATATTCTCGATCCAACTGTAACTATCAGGGTGTGAGCATTGCATTACATTCCCCGCCTACCTTTCTGACTGTCTCACCTGTCTCATGGCAAGTCCAGACCTCCTCCCCATTCCCAGCCACCTAGTGCATTTCTGCAGGGAGAAGCCAAGAGTTCGGTGCTGTTCCCTCCTCTTGGAATCGGCTTCCTCTCCCTGCCGCAGAGCCAAATCGTATCCGTTTAGAAGGAATGCCATCTTGTCCAGCAGCCTTCCCCAGTCCCCTGCCTCTAATCTGATTTTTAGAGAGGAGTTCCAGCGCTGGCTCTCTTCCAAAGTGCCCAGCGGGACGCCCGTGGAGAATGGACCCTTGGGAGTCTGGGACTGCAATTGTTTAGAAGATTCTAAACACACCTGTCTAGATCTGTGGCAAAACACCCCAGCAGTGTGTCTGTTTGCACACGTGGTCTTCTCGAAGGAAGCCTCCAGTAGTGGGCCTCGAGGGCTGCCGGTCGTTTTTCCCTGTTTACAAAGTTCTTTTCATTCGTCATTACTATTTTGTGTTCACAGTTTAAAAAATAATAACGCCCAACCTTGACAAACACGCCTCGGCACTTCATCCTTGCTCTGGCTTCCAAGGCCAGGCGTGTCCTGTTGGGTCCCAGCTCTGAGAGCTTGGGCTGTGCACGTTCAGCGGAGAGTGGGTGGGCTGGGGCCTGGCCGGGAGGACAGCCCCATCATCTGCCAGCTTGGTGCCCTGGCCCTGTGGGGAGTGTGGGAGGTTGATCCCGGACCCCTGCTTCTCCACTTGATGTAGTAGGGCCACCATCATTATGTTATAGTAGCAATAAAGGCCCATTAAAAGAAAACTCCTGGTCAAGAGACTAGATCTCCAGGAGGGAACCCCTATTACCCCTTAACAGTAACACTTCACAGTCTTCATCTTCAGTGTGTTGGAAGTCCTAGTCTAGGTCCCGTCCTTGCTGAGCTTAGGCGCACCTCGGAATGAGCCCAGGCCTTTGCACCAGAAAAAAGCCGGTCTCCCCGGGGGGTGGGGGGTGGAGGGAAGCCTTAGCTTTCTCTTGGGATGCAGGCAGGGCTGTTCCCTTAAGGCCAGAGATTGTATGAACCCCTGGCTTGGGTAGGACAATCCCCAACCCAGTCTGGCTATCCAGTAGCAGCACCAAGCACCAGGCCAGGGCTGCTGCCATGATTCCTGTTATTCCCCACCCCCTGTCCCCCAACATTCACAAACTGACCACCTAAGCTAACAACTCTCAGGATCCATCCCAACACACTGTCCCCTCCAGACCTTAGCAGCCCCTTTAAGGAAGAGAGACAGCCCAGGTGGGGAGCATCTTCCAGGAGCCCCTTAGCCTACGGTGATGGGGTACTGCTGAATTGAAAGTCAGTAGGTGAAGGTAGTTCTTTAAGTTTCTCAGGGGGATTGTGGAGGGCCAACCACATTTTGCTGGTGTCTCCCCTTCCCCAGCAGTTGGGCAGGGGGTTTTATCCTACAATATCTATGATTATTTAAATGACTTTGCATCCCAAGGAGGAACAATAGTGTGACTTCCCAGAGAGAGGCGGGGAGAAACCTACTCAGCAGGGTCTAATACGGCTGAGGACAAGTGTCTTCTCCATCCTGAACCTCAGTTTCCCACTTGGAATGGGGCTGGACCATTCCAGAAGGGCTGGCAGGACTCCCCCAGCATGCTCCTGGGAAACAACTAGGTGTCAGGTCATGCCCATCCAGGGCCTATGGAGCTTCCAGGAAAACTCTAAGGCAGGCCTCTTCCCTCAGGTTCAGTGTGATGAGCTAGGGAGCTGGTTCTACCAGCAGTCACAGAGATGGAGTTAGCACTGAGCAGAGGCCTCTCTGGCTGGAAATAATAGGCCTTAACTTGTTGCTGGACACAGGCCCATAGTAGTTCCCTTAGCTGGCCCTCATCTTTTAAATTTTTAAAAAATATATTTTATTATTTTTATCTTATACGTATGCTTGTATTGCCTGCATGTAGGTAAGTGCACCTGTGTTGTGCAACGCCTGAGGAGGAGAGAAGAGGCTGTTGGATCCCCTGGAATTGGAATTACAGGATTCGAACTTGGGTCTTCTGCAAGAACAGCCGGTGTTCTTCACTGCTGAGCCATCTCTCTAGCCCCCTCTTTTAAATTTTTTATTTTTCTTATTTTTATTTATGGGTATGTATGAGTGCCTTTGAATGAATGCCATGTGTGTGCATGTACCCACAAAAGACAGGTGAGGGCCCCTGGAATCCCCTGGAGCTAGAGTTATAGGCAATTCTGACCCTACCCATGTGGGTGCTGGAAAGCAAACTCAGATTCTCTGGAAGAGCAGCACGGGCTCTTAAACACTGAACCAACTTTATCTTCTCTGAGCACAAGTCCTAGGCTTAACTATTCATATGTTCAGTCTGCCCATCGTTCTAGGTCCCCAGTCCCGTTCCACCCCACAGCATCTGAGAACTGTGCACAAACCAGACTCCTACTCTGGCACACTCACTCTATGACTGCCCTTTTCTTATTTAGTTTCAGAATTCTGCTCCAGCTCTGACCTCACTAGGTCAGGTGTCCTTGGCCTCATCCTGAAGAGTGACTTGTCCTTGTTTATAAAGTCAGTTACCCCCTCTCTGGTGTGAGCTCCTTGACAGCTGACATTCTTTTTAATTCGGGACTTTGCCTTCCTCCCACCACCAGCATAGGGACTCGCACAAAAAGGCACCCAATTAATGCCAAGTGAATTGACCAGAGGGGAGGGCCGCAGGTAGGGGGGGAGGGGACACTTAGGAGCTGAAGAGAGATCTTTGAGATTCAGTTCACTACCGTGCCTCCTCTCTTCTATCATGGGGGTCATTTTCTCCAGGAACAAGACCCACCATAGTGTGTGTGTGTTGGCTCTGGCCCAAGCACCCTCTGGTAGCTGCCCTGGTTGCACCAGACCAGTCTATAGCCTCTCTCCTTCGGGCCCCACTCTCTTTGTTTCCCTTTTAAGAAAGAAGAAATTCTCATAAACAAGCACCCCAACCCGAGCGCCCAACCGGCCAGCCTACCCAGCTGGGTTCCAGGAAATCGGGGTTACTTTCAGGCCCCGAACCTGCCCCAGGCTCAACTCAGCGGAAAAGCTCAGGGGAGACTCTCTCCTTGCAGCTGCGCTTCGCAGCTTCCCGGCTGGGGTGCGAGGAACCGGAGCTGGAGTCGAGAGGAGGGACTTAGGGGAGCCTAGAAACCGCCTAGGGAGCGTCTGTCAAGTGCTGGCTCGGCACAGGACGAAGAGGTACCGGCCGCTAGCTGCGGAGGAAGGGGATCCCTGCCCATTAGGCTATCCCCAATCTGTACGGAGGTGGATTCTGTGCTTCTAGGTCGCTAGCCCAGAGCACCATTTGTTTCGTTTGTCCCTGAAGGGTTGATGAGGCTTAGGAGGGCGTGCAGGCGCTCGGGACCGTACCTGCCCCTAGGGGGAGCTGGGAGTCGGAGCTCAGGGAACATTAACTGGGCGGCGTGGGAGTCCTGTCTGCCTGGTCCCCTGGGGAGATGGCAAATGAACTGGGCCTCGAAGGCATGACTCTGGGGTTCCTTATGACCTGCCACCTGAAAGCAATGGAACCGCTTTTAGGTTTTCACTGCCTGCTAAATGGGTTTCAGGTGCAACAGAGAGACTGCTAGAGTAGGAGAGTATCAGATTGTGTGTGTGTGTGTGTGTGTGTGTGTGTGTGTGTGTGTGTGTGACATTTTAGATTTTCCTTGAACTCACAGCGATCCATCCTTGAACTCATGCTGGCCTTGAACTCACAGTGATCCATCTGGCTCTGCCTCTGCCTCCCAAGTGCTGGGACTAAAGGCCTGTGCCAACATGCTGGACCTTATTTTATTTTACGTGTATGAGTGAATTGGCTGCATGTAGGTTAAGTGCACCCCTGTTGTGCAATGCCAGCGGAGGACAGAAGAGGATGTCAGATCTAGGATTCCCTGGGCCAGAGTTACAGATCATTGTTAGCCACCATGTGAGTGCTGGGACCCGAACCTGGGTCTTCTACAAGGGTAGCCAATGCTCTTAACCAATGAGTCATCTCTCCATCCCCTTGTCAGGATTTTTCCCCCTTGAGACAGGGTCTAAAGTTGGCCCAGGTTGGCTTGAACTCACTATGTAGCTGAGAATGACCTTGAACTCCTTCCTTATCCTTCTGCCTCCATCTTCTAAATTCTGGGATGGATTACAGAAGTTAGCCAACAGGCCAGCTTTAAAAAATTTTGTTTTTAGCCGGGTGTGGTGGCGCACACCTTTAATCCCAGCACTCGGGAGGCAGAGGCAGGTGGATCTCTGTGAGTTCAAGGCCAGCCTGGTCTACATAGTGAGTCCAGGACGGCTGGGGCTATAGGGAGACCCTGTCTCAAAAACACGAAAAAAAAGAAAAAAATTTTTGGTTTTTTAGACAAAGTCTGGGTATGTAGTTACTAACTATCCTGGAACTCACTGCCCTCCTGCCTCAACCTCCCAAGTTCTGAAATTACAAGAATACACCAAATAAATGGTTTTTGTGTAATTTTTAGGTACCAAGGGCCAAATACTGTGTTCTCTTACATCCATGATAAGATGGGTGTAGCTACAGATGAGTACGTTGAGACTCAGAGGTGAAGCGCTTGTCTAAACTGGAAAGGGTAAGTAAAGCCTTGGTGGTAGGCCTCCCACTGTCTTGCTCTGTCTCCTTGCCTGCTGTATCCTGTGGGCCAGGGTGCCCCTTATTCCACCTTCCAGTCAGGCCCTGGGTGGGGCTTACCCAGACTGCTCCCCATCCTCTGGCTTCTCTTCTGGGAGCCCATACAGGAAGTGCTGGTGAGAGCTGTGGATCAGAAAGGCTGCTCCATGGGCAATGCAACAGGTCCAGGCCTGGGAAAGGGCTACTGTGAGTGGAGGAGAGGCCAGACCTCGGCAGAAGTCCCATATGTCTCCTTCTCCTATCCTCTGGCTCTCAACCCCTCCCTAGCCTCCCCATCCCATGCCTCCACAGTACCAGATAGACAGTGAGGCCCACATAGGCTACTGCCAGCAGAGCTACAAGGCCAAAATAGGCAGGGTGTGGGAGACTGGGCAGGTAGCTGACCACGAAGTAGAGGTTGAAGGCACAGATCAGTGTCATGATGCAGGAAGTGATGGCCTTGCTCAACCTGAGGGCAGGAGGGGCTGAATGCAGTTGAACCACCTGGATCTCTCTCTCTCTCTCTCTCTCTCTCTCTCTCTCTCTCTCTCTCTCTCTCACACACACCCAAACAC